ATTTTAATTTACCTGTGTAGCACTTCTTAAATCTGATGAATATCCAAACATATTATTAGAGTCAAACTATCACCGTAGACCGTCAAATGCGTCGATATAATGTTCCTCGTATATCTTTTATTAACAAATTGGATCGGTACGTTTATTGAAACTTTGAGATATAAAATTTTATTCATTTTATTTACGCGTTTATATCACTTAGTATTGGAGCAAATCCTTTTAATGTCGTTGAACAAATTCGACAAAAGCTAAAAATTACTGCCGCTGCCGTGCAAATCCCTATTGGACTCGAAGACGACCTAAAAGGTGTTATCGATTTAATTAAATGGAAGGCTGTTTATAACGAAGGCAGCCGTGGGTAAGAATATATATTGTTAAAATTTATGATCTCTCATGATTGATTCCTTTTTAATTGATATTTATGTTACAGTGAAAAAGTTATCGAGAAAGAAATTCCAGATGATCTTATTAATCTGGCAACTTTAAAAAAGCAAGAGTTAATTGAAAATCTTGCTGACGTAGATGATCAAATTGCTGAAATATTTTTGATGGAAGAAACACCCACAAAGGAACAGTTAATGGTGTGTTCAATTCAAATTTAATAAATCTACCTCAATACCACGTTTATATATAATCTAATAAGCTTTTACATGTGAATATTTAAATAATGTTGAGATTTAGGATGCTGTTCGACGTGCAACTGTTGCGAATAAATTTACACCTGTTCTTATGGGATCAGCTTATAAGAATACTGGCGTACAACGCGTACTAGATGCTGTATGTGCATTTCTTCCTAATCCATCTGAGGTGCATAATACTGCTTTAGATATTAATCAAAAGGAGGCTCGGGTTGATCTCATTCCATATTCAAAAAACCATTTTGTCGGTTTGGCGTTTAAACTGGAAGAAGGAAAATATGGACAGTTAACATACATTAGAGTCTATCAAGGAGCTTTGAAAAAAGGCTCTTTTATCACAAATTCTAGAACTTCAAAGAAAGTCAAAGTGCCAAGATTAGTTCGAATGCATTCAAACGAGATGGAGGTATTATTTGATTTGTTATTTATCTTTTCTATTTCAAAATACATATTATTGATATCACATTAGGACGTTGATGAAGTTGGCGCAGGTGAAATTTGCGCTGTG